CATCACCACAACCTTCTGGTCGGCTAGGGTCGCCTACAGCAGCAATATCCTCATAAGGTCGAAAAGGATATTGCACATCAGTCATATCATGACCCTCAGCGGGTCCTGAAATGTTTCCAACGCAGATTCGATTGGCTATTGCAACACTCTCACAACACAACAAGTTGCAAAGAAGAAACAGAGCCACAAAACTTCTGCGTGTAGATAGAGGGCGTTTTCGATGTGTGATCCTTCGATCTGCTCGAGAAGCTCTTCCTGGATATTTAGTAATCTCATCAAGTCTCCAACTCCAGAAGCTGAGCAGGCCAAGAACAAGAAAAACTAGCTCTTGATACCTACATAGCAGGATTAGCAGCTCGATTCCAAAATTGATCTCTTCAACCCCCTCTACATGTTTGATCTCAACATCGAATTCGAGGATCATGTAATTACATGCGATCCCTACACATTGGCACAGAAAAGCCTGGCGGATCTCGGCAAAAGGTGGTATCGGCCGTATCCGTCTGCCACATGCGAAGCTGCGCATACACTTGCCAATATGTGCAAGCTCTTCCCACACTATAACCCACATAGCCACTATGCAGATCCCAAGCAGGTTCAACTTGAAGAGATTCCCGAAGTCAGAGAAGTCCACCAAGGAAAAGCACAATCCCCCAGTGACAAGCCAGAAGATCGTAATGGTGCACTCCCACAACTTCTCCAGAGATCTCAGTTGCGAATCAGCCTGAAACATCAAACCCCCATATGATTCTCCATTGCCAGACAAATGTAGCATCGAATCATTCTCACAAGAAAAGTCGCTAATGCTGCTGCCTTGAAATTTGGCGCACCCATCAGCTGTGTAGTTGTCAGTGTATGCCCCCACACCAACATACTCCGGCTCATACCCGATCCCGAGGTCAATCCCCGGGTCTTGAGGGCTCATAGTTTGTCGTCTGGAATCTCTGGGACAGGAGTCTTCGCACCTAGCCCAGCCGCTGTACTTTCTCCCGGGGTCGTCTTGGCCACTTCCCCTTTCCTGAGAGCTTTCCTGCTGGAAGAGGTCCCCCCAAAGGGAAGCATCGAATTTCGGGCCATCGTCACTGGCAATGCATTGGGCGAATCCATCGAATCCAAGGAGATGTTTCCATTGGCTTGCATCATGACCTGCTGGACTAAAATCTCCACGGCCTCCTTTGTCGCATAATTCTCTGGTTCCGTCTCCACAATAGTCAACACATGCCTTCGATGTTCCTCTTGTAAGCCCGCTAAAAGACCTTTGAGGAAGGTCTCCAAATTCTCGTCTTCCATCTCCACCTCGACTGCGTTCCTCTTCACTGCCGGTGATCTGGATCGTCCTTCTCGCACTGGAGTTGTCTCCAGCTTCTGACCTGGTGGTCGAATCAACTGGGGAGAGGACTGGTTGACCAGATCTGGCCTCTGTGAAGTGCGTATCACCGCCACCAGACTCTGTACCTGGCTGTTCATCTCCTGCACCATCTGGTGATTCCTCTTCTCCATGATCTCGAAGTAGGTTGCCATCTGGTCGATTTGTGCCTTGACTTGCGTAAGGTCTTCCGCCAAGGCTCTTGCACCTTGCTCTCCATCGCTTTCTGCTTCCATAGAATGTGTCTCTGGACCGTCTTCCACATTCTTGAGCTCCTCCTTCAAGGCTTTGACTTCTTCCTCGTATCTCTTTTCTTCGAGCCTCAAGCCTTCCATGAACCCCGCCTTCCATTTTGCGAAGTTTTCCTCCTTCTCCCGGATCGTGCTCTCTAGCTTCTCGGCCTTGTTGATGCTTTTCTTCTCCCTGTTCAATTCCCTCTGTCGTTCTCGGAGACTTTCTCGAGGGTTGTGCACTATCTTCTTGCACTCTTCCACCAGCTCTGCCGGGTCCTTCCCAACCTCCTTCCCAGCATCCTTGTCGAGGAGTAGCTTGAAGACATCCCGCAACTTCCGATTCTCCTCCAAGACCTGAGCATTGGTTGCTGCAGTTGCTGCAGAGGAGGTAGATCCCGAAGAAGATGCCTGCCCATTTGGTACAGCCACCTTTCTGCCATCGTAGCCGACAAAGAAGGTCTTGTCCTTGTCTTCCTTCTTCGGCTTCTGCTTTTCCTGTTGCTCTGAGGGCCATGCCTGCTTCCATGCCTGCGCCTTGGGATTCCAGTTCTTGTTTTGCTTCCATGTCATTCCGGATTTCGCTCTATCACCAACACCTTTATCAAGTGCAGCAATCCTGAACACCGGTCTCGAATGATGCAAATACAAGGACCTGGATAAGGACAGGAGCTTGTGCAGGATCTTCCCTTTAGGCCAGAGTTTTGTTCTATGCCGTGCTATATAAGCCCGCGCTTTTGAACGTTGGGCACGAAGGCGTCGATGCCAAGAAGGGCTATGAACCACAATGGCAACACCTAAAAGTACGACTGGAAGACCAGTCTGGGGCTCTAAGTTGCTCCGGGACACCGGCTATCTTGAGCCCTCACCCTTTCAGATCAGAAAATAAACGAAACGAGACCGTTCCAACACCCTCTCCTTCGACGACTCGCGCTTGCATCGCCTGGAGAACATCTGGGAAGGTCACATGGCATGACCACCCTAAACCCTTAACCATTCTGGGAAGGTCAATCTAGTGACATACCATTCTGGGAAGGTATAGTGACATTTCACAGCTACTTCGCGGCTATACCATTCTAATTCTAATACTACCTCTCGCACAATCCATCAGGATCCAGTGTGAAACGTAGCGAGAGTATGTCAGTCGCACGCTAAGCTGGACAGAATGAAACCCCCCTACATGTACGTATAGTACCGACGTAGCAACTCCTGACTGCTTTTCGCATTGGACCTTTTCCAATCAATGCTTCCCCTGGTGTTGTCCTTCCAGTGGGACAATGGAGACCAATGCCATCGTGTAGGCGGCTGTGAACACGCTGTGTTGTAAGATGTTCTGACGCGATTGAACTTTTGGGCATCAAAATTTCTTGGGAGAAGGATGTACAATCACACAGGTACAGTAGCTCGGTGAGGGGCAGCTATCCACATCGAGCTAGGATGAATTGAGCTCGTTGATGTGGTTTTCCGTTTTGTTTTCATCAAGTAAATTTAGACTTGATGATACCTTCCTTTCTCCACTGCCCGGCACTGCCCACCGCCTCTCACCATATCCTTCCTGTTTTGGGTGCAGCCTTCCTTCCTTCGAGCCGCGCAAGGCACCCAAAAACGATCGACCCTTAGGCCTCCGCGGACTCCAAGCTGCCCCAAAGCGTTTGCCCTTGAGGTGTTCGGAACCGCAGCAAGTTCCTCTCAGCACATCGCTTAGGATCGTGTGGCGTGAAAAGGGGGACGGTCGGAGAAAAAGAACATTCGAGCCAAGCTTATCCACGTGAGGTGCTCCGGACTCAAGCAGAGTGACTTTGAGGTCCATTCAACAAGTCCCAAGTCCATCCTCGAAACTCGTTGGATGCAGAGAGTGACCAAAGCCTTCTAAAACCCTAAGCAGTTCCGTGGGGTCCGCGAGAAAAATGACGCTTTCAAGGCATGACGACGAACGAAGAAAAGGACGGGCGCCTTTTAGAGGTGACCCAAGCCGCACACTCTGCAGCCAGTGTACCCCATAGATGCCGAGCTCAAGGAAGAAATCATCCTGGTACAAGCAAAAGGTGGTGGAAGCTTATAGTCGGTGATGTTCGAATTTTGATGGCTGGTTTTCCCATGCTTTGGTATGTGTTTTTCTTTTTTCAATGAATTAATCTATGGGATTCCAGCAATCCATAAAGGCCCTACTCTTCTTATCTGTTTGATCAGGGCAGTTTCCAATGTCTGTTTATTTTGTTGCAAATCCGCCAAACAAAAACAACAATTAATATGTATAAATATGTCGTACTTTTTTGGTTCATAGTTGTGGAAGTTATAGTTGTAGCTGTTCAAAAAGGACATATGTGTTAAAATACAACACCGAAACAGTTGTTCATCAGCTGTTCGATCAGGAGTCGGTTCAAGGGTGGGTTCAAACAAATGATTTCTAATTCTTAATGCATGGAGGACAAGGCCTTTCTCCATGACTGTCCGTCCTACGCAATATTGCCCCCAATCACCTCTGATCATACTGGTACTTTGAGCTTCGAAGCAGCTTTCCTTCCTGTGACAAAGCTGCATCGTGTCCTAATTATCATGTTCAACTCTGTTCAGAACCAAGCGTTATGACATGTTACGACAAGTTATGACTATAGTTCCGAAGTCAACTCATGTTTTCTCTTCGCCTCTCCCGCTCTGACCGCTTCAAAACCCCTACCGCGCCCACACCTGGCATGCTCGGCACACGGCGCAGCTGGCGCATGGTATCCAGCCAGCAGCGCGCGGCCAGCAGCGCGAGTCCGCACGGCAAGTGGGGAAAAGGTCCGCAGCATGGCGAGAAAACGTGAAGTCGGTTGGATGAAGCAAGTGCGTGATTCTGGGTTTTCGGTGAAACGATTCTGAGTCGGCACATCAAATCTACAGATTTGAGAAAGATTGAGAAAGCATTAACACACACCCAAAAGTCTGTCACTAAACCAGGGTGTGGTATCGGTTGCTTTTATTGTTGAGACCGTCCGAAACCCATGTGCTAAGAAATTGCAAATTGTTCCAGCCACGTGCAACATGCGCGCATTTCCATGTGATGCACAAACTTGATGAAGTCGCCTCACACAGCTGAAGAGCGGAGGAATCGATGCATTCTGAAAGTGTCCAGCTGGACTGGCAAAAACAGGTGAAGAAAACACACAAAACTCAATGTTCCTTAAACGTTCCCTCAAAAAACGGTTCCTTGAGATGCTCGAAAATATCTGTTCGGATCTGGCAACGATCTGTTTGACAAACTCCTTCTTTTGGAACCATGGTTTCCCAAATCTCGAGGTCAAAAAAGGGGCCCTGGATCCATCATGGTCTTCTCGCAAGGCTCCTAGATCCATCTGGTTCCATCTCCGTTCCATCTGGCTCCTGGATCCATCCACCTTCCATCCAAACCAAAGCACCGACTCCTGGAGGCTGGCCAACAGGGACCGCACCGACTCCACGCCTAGAGCTGGCGGTGAACGACACACTGGGGTCCAAAGCCCAAAGCATAGATACAATGATACACGTCCAAGTGAAGAGTCAGAGAAAGTAACCTTTTTTGGCAAGCGCAAACTGGACAAGTTCTATGTGTTTAATATGTTTTTAAAGATAGAAAATAGAAAACACTCTATTAACATGTCCTTGAACGTTTTCACAAACAGATTGAAACCCTTCGTCAGCTAAACACAAAAACCATCAAAAACCTGAGGTTTACTTCTTCGAGCTACTTTCAAGGAGTCTCCAAAAGACTACCCTGCACTATGTCTACAGACAGGTCTCCAGACAGGACACCCATGTCTAATCAAGTAGCTAAACACATGTGGGGATGGGTCAAACCCTGGAGCCCCCCAAAAACATCCCAACACCATGTAGCTTGACCTGGCCGACGGTGACAGGGACAGGTCTGTCTAGCGGCGGGCCCAGAAACGGAGAGACGAGACGGTGACCCAGACACCCAAGTGTATTTGCAAATGGGTTTAGTTTGGTGCAACCAATCCGCCTCAGACCAGACCTGTTCCTGTCAACCACCGCCAAACCCCCGAACCGCCAAACCCTAGCGATGGCCCTAATCACCCTGGACCGGGAGCCTCGGCTGAAGTGTACCTCGAAAACCCCATCAGTCCGTTAAAGCTGTGAAGGTCATTTCCAGCCTGTAAGCTACTATATGTAGTATCAAAAACATACCTAACCGCGAAACTTGGATCTCACCTTCATCCCTTTCTGATGAACCCAATGTTTCTGATGCATACCATGTCTCATGTCGATCCATTTCGCCAAAATGTACGAATCCGAAAAGACCAGTTAGGAGATGAGCACCAGTACGACCAGTGTCAGCCAACACGCGCTCCGAACATCCGAACAGGCGACCCTACATGGCCGTCGCATGTGCCGTCGGCCGTCGCGTCTCAAACAAGGGGTCCAACTAAATCTCTGTGATTGAATCTGAAAGCTCCTGCACCACCCTCAAGCATGGGGCTGGTTTCTTGCTGCCAAGAGTGATTTTCACCCATAAAACCAGGTGTGGCGTGTCGGTGGGTTCTGCAAGAATGGTGTTTGGTGATAATGAACAAAACAACCAACAACCCTGGCACCACATCTTTTGTTCTATTTCTGCATCACCCGTTGCATGGTCTGCTTCATGATGGATTCCAGCAGGCTAGCAGGGGTCGCGCTCAACCCACGGTGGTGCCGCGCGAGGGGTCGCGTTGCAGGTTCTCCTGCCGCGCCTACACAGCGTTCAGCAAGACCACAAAGGAGTGACGGAGAGGCCAGGCTCGAGAAAGGGGTCACCTGGACAACGCCAAGAGATGACACCTTTTTTCAATGAAACTCGGGAAACGCCAGGCTGGAAAACCCGTGGAACACCGATCCAAACTGTTCTCGCAAAAGGATTGAACAGAGGATCGGTGCAGAGTCCAGTCAATGGGTCGACGTCAGGTGTTTCGTTAACGTAGGGTGCGGAAAGAGCGAACCGGTGGACAGGGATGTTGCCAAACAATCGCAACACAGGTGAGAAGCATCAAGTTTGACATGAAATGGACCATATTGGAAAACGAAAAACAAGACCTTGTTTTCTTCACGCTTCATACCCCTGGCGGCTCCATACGTCGCAGGGTTTTTGTCATGAATTCGATGGGCCAAAGGTCAAGCAGAACATGGGCTTAGCCTATGTAAACATAGATGATGGAACACGGAAAACCATGTGAGGCATTCTGCATTACTTGGAGAAGCAGAAAGAGAAGCTTGAAGTTCTTCTTTTGCACCGAAACCACGGGACGAAGAGAACAACGAAGCCACGACGCCGGCCGAGTCTCGGCCTGTAACAAGGCACTTCCCATCACAGGTGCCTGAAGGGGGATGGTGATCCGGACGGCTTGCATCATGTATACCAAAGAGAGAGATGACCCACAAAAATCCAGTCGACTCAACAGATGGTCTTGCAGATAAACCATCAATAGGGAGACGTCAATAGGTGTCCGCGAAGACTGAACACCCGACTCATCCTACTCATCTACTCGTCCCCGATGAGAGGACCTGACCCTTCAGAGTGAAAGATCGGACTCCAATGCAATGGACTTCTAATGGGCCCTACGTACATGGTATATACCAGGGCCCTTAGAGGTTTTCTGGGGTGTCTAATAGCTCCAGGTTAAGGGGTGTCCATGAACCACCCCAATTCGGGGCCCTGGTATATAGATTATATTGTATATATGGCCCATATAAACCTATATCACACATTAATATATATATATATACACATATTATAATATATATATATGATTATATATGATATGGAGATGTACAGCATTCATCAACAGTCTACATTACTTGTGGTCAAGGTAGAAACACTGTTGTTGCACGCAATCGATGCCAGCCACTAGGTTGTGTATGACCGAATGACTTTCAATCCACCTATATAGGTCATTTGGACCAGGTCAATTGGAAAGGTCGCCGCCAAATGTTGTAAGAGGCCATGTCAAGGACATACAGTGACATACATAGCCTCCATTCAACAAGCATAAAAGTGGTACATGGCTTGGATGATTGGTTTCCCCTACAGGCAGACCGTTTTCTATGTTTCTAGCTCCTCAAAAGAGTTTGGTCTTACACTCTTGGATTTCAGTTCTTAAACATGTGCCGTGAGAAGCCTTGCATGCCTTGCAGAACAAAAGAAAACCTGTGAATGCCTCATCTGTGCTGAATGTTGAAATGTGTATCTCTCACATCCAACCCGTGAGAAGGCCAAAGTGATGCATTCTGTCGTTCTCGTTGGCAGTTGGCAGATCGTCCATTTTATCCAGATTAAGAACATCTACGGAACATCAGGATATTCAATGATATTCCAAGCTGTTGATGACCTTCGAATCATAGTTCGACCATTCAACACCTTCAAGACGTTACCGCCATCGTCGGCCTGGACTTGCAAATAACTCGCGCAGGAATCGGGCAAGGGCAACGACGACCTCGGCGTCGGAGGATAGAATACACGGCCGATCGACGGTGCCACTGGTCCCTAAAAAGTGTGGTATTTCGTGAGCCCTCGAAACCTAGGGAGCCAGGAATTTAAGATCCCAGACCCCCTCCACATGAGGGTCCGACCCCTTTACATACGAGGGTGCACGATCGTCTGGCCACATCCATTTTGTTGGATTTTGTGCGTATTTTGAGTATCCTTAGTTCCGGCTCCCAATCAGCAAGCAAAAGGTGCCAACAGGTGTGACCACTGTACCGTGGCAGATCAGGCAAAAAATCCCCTCCAACAGGTCTCCTTCAGAAGCTTGGACACCAATAGGCCAATAGGTCTCATCTGGTGACCTGTGAAGTCAGGTGCTGAACTTCCGCAACAGAACCTTCACAGGAGCCTCATCCTTGTGCTTGACCTGCGATCGGTTCCTGACTTGGAGACACAATTGACAAACCAAGCGGTAGTGCAGCAGTCGATCGGGAAATGGAAAAAGATTGGCGACGTACAAAAGCAACGGGACAAGAGCAGCTGAGCTGGTATAGGTCTTTTGTTGTTCAGTGGTACCCACTCCCGCCAAAACAATTCAGCTCAGTACTCAGTATACAAGAAACTTGGATCAAGCATGCAGCATGCCCCCTCCCCTCATCCAACTACAACCGTGCACACTACCGTGCACCCACTCGTCCCAGATCAGATTCTCTCGCTCGACTCAAACACCAATGCCTCACAAAAAAAAAAAAAACAACAAGCGGCCCAAACCAAAGCAAATCTAACAAGGTCAACACCCAACCATCCGCCCAAGCAAATCTCACCATCCAGCCTCCAAAAGCAACCAATGCCTCACCCCAAACACACAGGACAGCAAATCAACGCCCGCCACGTCGGCGGTTCGCCACCGGTGCCCTGACGGGTGTAGCGACCCACCGGTGGCTTGACCTAAAAACATTGACCCTTGAAAACTTCAACAACTCAAGGCCTTGAGTTTTCAATGACAAGCCTTGAGTTCGAACACATACATGACAAGCCACCTTGAAACCCTAAGTAAGTTGTTTCATCGGCCAAGCTCAGTCCCTTCCCGTTTCTTCTTTCCCAAGGCACACCATCTCGCGGGTCCGTGCCACGCTCCGCCGCAGCTCCGGGAAGAGCCGCTGCGTCAGAAACGCCTCGTGCCTGGGGGGTTCCGACCGCGCCACGATGCGAACGTCACGTGGAGATCGGCACGCAGAAGAAACGACGTCAAGTGCTGGGAGTGCGTGGGATGGGGAAGTTGTGGGTGGTTTGATGGGGACGGGGAAGCGTCGCACACAGCACATGTCACACGTGTCGAGTGTGAGTTCATGGTCTGGCCAAGCACCGCATCACCATGTTCGATGCGAAGAATCGTTCCAACATGACGCGGTATTTTTGGGCAGAGATTCAGTGGCCCAGAACACGTGTGGAAGCATCGACTGGGCCAAGATGTTGGTTTATATATCTCAAAATGACGTGTTCGCCAAAAGGATAGATTTGGTGTGGGGTCACACAGTTTTGGGAAATCCCATCATGTGTTTCATCTGGCTTCTGCTGTTTCGTTTCACGCCTCACTGTTGATCTCCTCACACGGAACTGTGCAGAATCCCAATATCACCAGCCACATCGATGCGTTGTGCGTTTCGGGACGTTGACCAGAATTCATCTCGATTCTCGATTGGATGGAGATCTTTGGGAAATGGACCCCCTTAAGCTTCATTAGTATGTTTTAAGAGTTCGTCCCTCCCTTGAAGCCTTACTCAAACCTTGCTCTTCCTGTGAAGTGTGAAGCAATTGGGGAAATCATGATGGGGATCTTCCAATTGCCTGAAATACCAAAAATATCATAGGGCTCCAAGTACCATCTCAGAAGATACTTCGAGCCTGCAAACCAATACCAAATGCTTGCGAAGGTAACTGGAGCCCTTGGGACCAGGAATCTTTGAGGCCAGGCAAAGATTCTCTGACCTGGCTGTGGAAGCAGAAAAAAAACACCTACTAAGCCTATTAACCTGACTATTAAACACATGGGAACTTAGTGTAGCAAGGACCAATCCAGGATGATTTTCCGCTGTGGGGAGGAATTCTTGGATTTTGATGCTTTGGAAGCTGCTCAAGACTTTTCCTCTCCATCTGTTCCAGGATGTTTTTCCTCTCCATCCACTTCACTGCCCGGAACTCCACCTGCCAGGAAGGCGTTGGTCACCCGCAGGCCTTGGCGCGACGGAGCGACGTCGCGGCGGAGCGAGGCGAGAGTGGAAAGGAGTCGTGAGTTCTTGGCGCCATCGCGGACTGTCCTGTGTTGAGCTGAGCGGATATGATGTCGTTTTTTCTTGGAACATGTCTGAGACCATGTATTGAGTAGATATGATCTCTATTCCTCTTGGAAGGCACAATCATGTTCCAACGGTTATGAACATCGACTTCCAACAGCTTCGCATCAAGACTCCAGCGTTCTGAAACAACCCCTCCAACGGTTCAAAGCGCGTGCTGACCAGCTGTCGGTCATTTTCCTCGCTTCAAAAGGGGCTTCAGATGTACACTTGATGATTTGTGCACAATCCCTTCAACATTCAAGCTTGGTACACTTCTAGATTTGTGCGTTTTCCGCACCGGCACTCCCCCTCCGTCGCTTCGACGGATATCGGTGCCACCGAAAACTCCAAAACTCCTCTCGTGAGGAGAGGCTCAAACCCCTTCTCTTGTGGGCTCATGGGGTCACAAAAAGGGTGTACCCCGTCCAGCCGTAGGGTAAAAGTGTCGACGTACGGCCTTCTCTCAGATCGCAGATGACCATCTTCTTCTTCCCCACTGCCGCCCACGCGATTGTCAGTCTCCACTGACTCCATGTCTCCTCCCACAGGCGGTCGCCCGTGAAGTCATACTTCTGCCTTCTGGAGTTGGGATGTTCTCTGATGGCCACCCTCTTCCCCTCGGCATTCGTTTTCACATCCACCCACGTGTCTTTTCGGGTGTTCTGATGTGGCGGCCTATTCACTTCATTCTTGATGCCACCCGAGAGGAACTCCTCCTGGAAGGACGGAAGCCTGAGGAACTCCTCCATGGTGGTCCCCTCGCTGATCTCCCAGACTCCCAGCTGCAAGCCTTCCGGAGTCCCAGCCATGAGGAGCTCGAAGGTTCGCTTATCTTCCTGAGCCTCTCGGTCTGCCTTGGTGCTCTGCCGAGGCTGGATCACCTCCTCGAACACCTCCTCGCTTCCAGCTGGTCTATCCTTTCTCTCCTCAGGTGTCGATGTGCTCCCACCGGTAGTCGCCAATGTCCCGGCTGTAGTTTCCACCCGGGTTCGACCAGGATCGACTCCCACGATCCGAACTCCGGTTCCATCCATCGCCACCCAAGTGCCTCCGTAATCGGGGCGAGGTCCTCTCTTCGCCATGATTCGGTCCCATGCGGCCGGTCTCATGCCCACCTCTTCCCTTCGACTCTTCTCCTTCTCAAAGTCATAGGGCTCTCGGTGACATAGGTCTGGATCGTGGCCATGTCGATGTCCCGAATGACGTTCAACTCCCTGTTGAGGTGACTCCACTTCCATCAACCGTCCCCGTCGTGGAGGCGTTTGCGTACTGGTCTCCTCCGTGATCTTGTTCTTCCCTCTCTCACCTGGGACTTGAAACGTTCGGATGGAGATCCGGTCCACTGGTGTTCGAGTTCCCAGTTCTTGTCTCTACAAGGGGTCGTCAGGCTCCGCCCACGGATACAGCTCATGCGCAGAGTATCCGAATCCCCGACTTCCTCGTGTGGTTTCGTTCAGCTCCTCCACACACCTCACGTCCAGCTCCATGATCTTTTCCACGACGATCTGGGCAACCCTGTCTCCCCTTGTAGATCCGGAGGTCCACGTCGGAGTGATTCCTGAGGAGCACCTTGATTTCCCCTCCGAAGTCTCTGTCTACCACTCCAGCGCCCGTCTCAATTCTCCTGATTGCAAGGGATGACCGAGGGGCTATCCTCCCATAGCTTCCTGGTGGCAGTTCCAAGGCAATTCCGGTCTTCACCAGGACGCTGTCTCCAGGAGGCAACATCGTTTCGATGATCGAGTACAGGTCCAGACCTGCAGCATGCTCCGATCCTCTGGTAGGGATCTTTGCTTCTGTTGAAAGTAGCTTCACTCTGAGCTCCTCCCTCGGGGCGAACCACTTCCGAGCTCCTGCAGTGCCCATCCTGAACACAATGTCCAGCCTGTCTTCGGTAGAATCCTCACCAGCAGTCGAAGGGGAACTTCAGGAAATAGCTCTCGGAGCTCCTGTAGATGTGCAGCTTCCAGATCCCCACCGCTCTCTTCTCCAGTGGGCAATGCCAGCCGTGCCCGCTCCTTCACCATGCTGCGCTCGATCTCCATCCTTAGCTCCCTGCCCAGTTCCTCCGTCACCGTCGGGCACATGCCTTCCACCATCACGTCCAACAGGGCTCCACTGGGGTCCAGGGAACCAGTCCTGCTCCCACGATGCCTCATATTTTAGTGAGATCAGGACGCCCAGCGGGACGATCGTCTGCGTCTCATTCAACGTGAGGAGGGTCCTTGTCCAAGGGAGTTGCCTTAGGGTGACTGACCCCTCAGCGAGCTCGACTCGCACCTCCTGAGCCCTCTGCCATTCTTCCTCAGATTTGGCCGTCCTCAAGCAGTGGGTCGCTCCTCCATCCAAGAGCGCCCGGTCCAAACTGCTCAGCTTGATGGCCTTCAAGGCTGGTGCTGGACGGAGGCTCTTCAATAACGTAGTGGCCTCATTCAGAAGGTCTTTCATCTCTCCTGATGCACCGGCCCCCTTGTCTCCTTCATTGGTGGTGGTCGCCTCAACCGAGTCACTCCCCCCAGTCTTCGGGCCTGGATCCACCGCCTCCCCCTTGACCACGCCAGTGGAGTTCTTTTCCTTCATGGACTTCACTGCACTCTTCTCTGGGGAATCCTTCACCTTGGGTTTCGAAGCCGGACAATCCTTCTTGGCATGTCCCATAGAATCGACAAGCCCGTTCTTCTCTTGACCCTTCAGTCTTCGCCTTTCCGGCCCCCTTCTCCACCTTGTCCTCCGGGAACGTGGTCATCACCTTGACCTTGGTCGCCGATGCTGGAGGCTTCACCTCGGGTTGTGGCTGGATCTCACTCATAGCTAGCGACTCTGCCTCAGCTGTGAGCATATCGGCGAA